AGGATCACTTGAGCCCGAGTTAGAGGATGCTGCGAGCTATGACACCATAGCACTCTACCCAGGGCAATAGCTTGAGACTCTGTTTCAAAAAAAAAAAAAGTACACATCATAATCAAGTAGGTTCATCCCAGGGATGCAAGATTGGTTTAACATACATAAATCCATAAATGTAATTCGCCATATCAATAAAAGCAAAAACAAATGATCCTCTCAATAGATGCAAAAAAAGCATTAGACAAAATTCTGCATCCTTTTCTCACAAGAACACTTAAGAAAACACATGCAGATGGCACTTTTTTTTTTGAGACAGAGTCTCACTATGTCACCCTCAGTAGAGTGCCGTGGCATCACACCTCACAGCAACCTCAAATTCTTGGACTTAAGTGATTCTCTTGCCTCAGCCTCCCAAATAGCTAGGACTACAGGTGCCCGCTGCAAATGCCTGGCTATTTTTTTGTTGTAGTTGTCATTGTTGTTTTAACAGGCCCAGGCCAGGTAAACCACACAGCTACAGGTGCCAAACCAGATGGCACATTTCTTAAGCTGAATGAAGCCATCTATGACAAACCTACAGCTAACATCATACTGAATGGAATAAAACTGAAAGCTTTTCCACTAAGAACTAGAACCAGACCGGGATGTCCACTATCACCACTATTATTCAACATAGTTCTGGAAGTTCTAGCCAATGTAATCAGGCAAGAGAAGGATATAAAGGGCATCCAAATGGGAGCAAAGGAGGTCAAACTCTCACTCTTTGCCAATGATGTGACTTTATACTTAGAAAACCCTAGCATTTCAACCATAAAACTCCTGGAAGTGATCAAGAAATACAGTACTGGCTTGGTGCCTATGGCTCAAGCAGCTAAGGCACCAGCCACATATACCTGAGCTGGCGGGTTCGAATCCAGCCCAGGCCTGCCAAACAACGACGGCTGCAACCAAAAAAAATAGCCAGGGCATTGTGGCAGGTGGCTGTAGTCCCAGCTACTTGAGAGGCAGAGGTAGAATCGTTTGAGCCCAGGAGTTGGAGGTTGCTGTGAGCTGTGATATCATGGCACTCTACCCAGGGTGATAGCTTGAGGCTTTGTCTCAAAAAAAAAAATAAAAATCTATTTTAAAAAAAAAAAGAAAAAAAAGAAATACAGTACCATCGCTGGGTATTGCCTTTGTATAAGCCAGGCATCCTCAAAACTACAGTCCGTGGGCTACATGCAGCCCACCGAGTGTTTTTGCCACTGCTGCCTGTCCTGCTTAGCAGCCGACTCGACCCAGGGCCCGTAGTCTGGCCCTCCAACGGTCTGAGGGACAGTGAACTGGCCCTCTGTTTAAAAAGTTTGAGGACCCCTGGTAAGCCAATACCATTCAAGTTGAGAAGCCAATCAAAGACACAATTCCCTTCACAGTGGCTTCCAAGGAAATGAAACACCTAGGAATATACCCAACAAAAGAGAGGAAGGAGCTTGGTTCCTGTAGCTCAAGTGGCTAAAGCACCAGCCACATACACTGGAGCTGGTGGGTTCGAATCCAGCCCGGGCCTGCCAAAGAACAATGACAACTACAACCAAAACAGCCAGGCATTGTAGTGGGCTCCTATAGTCCCAGCTACTTGGGAGGCTGAGGCAGGAGAATCGCTTAAGCCCAAGAGTTGGAGGTTGCTATGAGTTGGGATGCCACGGCACTCTACCCAGGGGGACAGCTTGAGGCTTTGTCTCAAAAAAAAGAGGTGAAAGACCTTTACAAAGGAAACTATGAAACCTTAAGAAAAGAAATGGCAGCTCGGCGCCTGTGGCTCAAGTGGCTAAGGCACCAGCCACATACACCTAAGGTGGCGGGTTCGAATCCAGCCTGGGCCTGCCAAACAACAATGATGGCT